GCCCGCCGCCGCCGCCTCTTCTCCCGCCGCCGCCTGTTGCTGCCGCCGCGTCCCTCCCGCCACCTCCTTGGGGTGCCGAGAGAGAGAGAGAAGTCATGGCTGAGAGAGAGGATAATGTTTCCCCTCACCTCCCACGCGAGTGGATAAGGCCGTCTCTCGGCTCGGCTCGTTGTCGGTTTTCTAAGAAAACCGACACCTTTAATATATTATAGGTGTCGGTTAATTTGACACCTATAATATATTATAGGTTCCGGTTTTTTTTAAAAAAAGATACAAAATATAATAGATGCCAGTTTTTATTTAGAACCAATACCTATAATTATTTAAAGATGCCATTTTTTTATGATTTCAGCCCGCGGAGGTGGGAAAAAGCCTATAGGTGCCGGTTTACTACCGGCACCTATAGTGGCGACTCCTATTTGATGTTTTGCAGTAGTGCCGTCTCTTCCACTTACAATCTCTATTGAGCAAGGTAAAGGGGCCGGCTAATGGGCGGGTGATCGCCCGATCACCCCCCATCCCCCCTATACAGTATACACTACTCTCTTCCTTCCTCCTCTTCTTCTCACCCTACTACACCATAAATTTTTAAAAAATAAAAAACACAAAGTTGAAAAAATTTATGTATAGAAATACTATATAAAAAAATTGAATTCAAATTCAAATTTAAAACGGGTATGTAAACTTTTGACTTATAAACTTTGGGTCTATAAAGTAATATTTAAATTCAAAATCAAATTTGAATCGAGTATGTAAACTTTTGACTTATAAGCTTTGGGTCTATAAACTTTAGATGTATAGAAATACTATAAATAAAAAATATTTGAATTCAAATTCAAATTTGAATCGGATATATAAACTTTTGATTTATAAACTTTGGGTCTCTAAATTTTAGATGTGTAAACTTAAGGTGTACAAACTTTAGGTGCATAAATTTACTAAAATAGGAAAGTAATACGGTGCCAAAAAAGGAAACCACGTGGAAGAGAGGGAGGGCGCTAGGGGCGATCGATCGCCCCTTAGCAATCTCGTTAGGTAAATGCATGGATGGTTGTCTGCCGCCCATTGGAAGGTTGGGCATCCAAACGTGCCCATAGTTTGTTAAATATGTGATCCGAATTTTGGGCCCACAATATATTCGGATTAGTTTCATAGTAGGAGTTTCTATTAGGTGTCTTTCTTTTATCCAATATATATACTCTTGTAAGCCGTACGGGAAGGGGTGACATTCCCATTGTTATTCTCCTACGTTTGTAATAAACTCCTCTATAGTGATTATAGTGATTATTGCCGGTCGGCGCCCATGGTTTTTTCCCGCAAGGGTTTTCCACGTAAAATTTGTGTCTCCGTTGTGCATCTATTTTCATAACATAGTTATTATAGAGGAGCTACGTCCTCCTGTAGGTTAATCTGCAGGCTTGACTAACCTACAAAGATCACAACATAACACATGTGGATTTTCACCCCCTTCGGTCAGAGTACACAATCATGTTCTTTGACCTAGAGGAAGACATAGTTGCTTCATATAGGGAAAAAAAACTGCAAAACTATGGTACGATTGAAGATGATCGATAGGGAAATTATCTTCTCGTTGAGCATCCCCTTTGTCGCTAAACTTAAATAGAAAAATTGGGCCGGTGCATGGGTCAGGTTCACTAACCTAGTTGTCTTAGGACTTAGGAGTGCATCCCCAGGGGGTGTGCTGGGTATGCACCGGCATACCCAGAAATTCTGAAAAAAGTTTAACATGTAGTTTGCAAAAACTTATCTAAATGATGGATAAGTGCTTACATCAAAGCTCGAGAGGCCTAGGTGGCTAGCAAGGCCCCAGCAAACAGCAAGTCACCACCCAGCTCGTGTGCGTGTGCGTCGATACAGTATTACTTGCCTCCTTCTCACTGGTGGAGAAACCATCTTTGATCGGTCCGCTAGATTTCACAATAGTCTCGGTTGTATTAAAAATCGGGACTAAAAATATCTTTAGTCCCGGTTTGAAAGCTCAGAGGAATTTTTTGATCTTCTTTTTTTTTTGAGAATCTATGATTCAGATCTGAGACGATTTGTGTGTGATGTGAATATGTGATGTATTTGATTTGTGTATGATGTGAATATGTGATGTATTTGTGATGAATTTTGTAGAAGTTATGATGTAATTTTTTTAAGATTTTGTGATGTATTTAGAGATATTGATTTGAGAATTTGGAGACTATTCTGGGACGATTGATTTGGGATTTTGGGATGAGATAGAGTGAATCAATATATTAAAAACAATGAAGAAAAGAATATAATAAAGTAGCAATCGGAGCTAGCTTCTTTAGTCCCAGTTGGTACTCTATCTTGATTAAAAATGGGTTTTTACTCCCGGTTTTTTTATCCGGGACTAAAGATAATGATCTTTAGTCCCGTATTCGTAGTTCCGGTTTTTCAACTGGGACTAAGGGGGTTACGAACCGGGAGTAAAAACTCCTTATCCACCAGTGTCTTTTCATGTTGGCCGTGCGGCGTGGGCAAAGCAGCAAGTGCGACGGCGGCCGGCAAGTCTGTCATTGCCCACTAGCCCAGAGAAGCTGAGCCCCTGCAGCCTGCCTGCCCCTAGCCAGAACGGAGGCATGCCGGCCATTGAGTCATTGGCAGCAGCAACGACCAGCCAGGACTAGCAACGAGAGATTTTGGAGTTTGCTAAAAGACTAGTTTTCACCTCTTTACAATTCTACTTCCTTCAAATATGCGATCTCTTTTCTCTGAATGATATTAAATTGAATCAATCAACTATTAGTATTAGGATGAACATGGATCTTATTTTTGTCTTTAACATGCATGGCACCAAAAAATAAAATAAAATAAAATAAAAATGCATGGCACCAAACAATTATGGGATTCACATTCTGTATGGTGCTAGATACGTTTCAGAAGCCAGAGATGCTCTCGGAATAATTGTATCACTTGATAAAATTTACTGAGATTAATAAAGCTTCCATTATCTTAAAAAAGAAGATACATTCCAGAACAAAACTGGTTTTAGAAAAATAAAAAGGAACATTATCAAACAAGAGTACTAAAGGGAGTAGAAATTAGTCGTAATTGGTGTTGTTTTGTACTCCATTTATAGATAAAAACATCATATATCCCTACATGAAGAATTTAGTTTTCCTCTTTAGATTTGCATGGGCACAACCAGGGTAAAAACCATAGGTACACCATTGGGTATGGTGTTCGATTGTGAAGTCAGCAAGTATGTAGTCTTATCGAGGAGATCATCGATGTCATTATGTTATATTAACAGTATGATGAATTAAAATATTGAAGATATAACTGAGAGTAAGGTCAATAATATAGCTTGCTACTGGCGCTAAAATTGCATACGTCAGCTATTACAGCCAGCACAAAATAGCCTATTCATACAACAATTATTTACAACTTTCAACCTTACATGGCTATGCAGTTTTCCTATTTTTCTAAAGACGAAACCATCAATCCGTTTCTCTCAGGAGATCGCTTGAACAGTGAACACACTAGTACTCCAAATCTCCAATCGACCATTGATTTGCTTGTAGTGGCTGCGAAAGTTGTGGACAGCGGCCACCCTTACGGCGAAGCTTGTTCTGGGCCGTAGCTGTGGCGAAGCGCTGCACCGTTGTGAGGAGACGAGGCGACCTTGCGTCGTTGCGCGGCCGACGCACCATCGCCACTGTCCAAGCTAAAGAGCATCGGTTCCTATTTCCTCCTGGTTTATTTTTATCTTTAGAGCAGGTACAATAATAGACTATAAGTCAGCTATAAGCTTATATAAAGGAGATAAGAAAGGAAAGAGAAGAGAAACAGACTACAGATATGTAACGGCTGTATCACACGGACTCCAAAACGTTGTGTGTGTATGACAGGTGGGACCAATTATTAATGATATAGCATATATTTATATTTGTAGTTATCTATTGTATGAATTAGCTACCAGATCGACTACAGATGATTTGGAGCGAGTAATTGGCTATACTTATTAAACTCGACGTTCTGATTCTGGCTCGATGTTCCCGTTTTGAGATGGTCACGCCGCCACTTCTCTAGGGGTCGCGCCGCATCGACAGTTGAACGGGCCCACAAACCGCCTGGGGTGCTGCTGGCATCGGCTGCGGGCCGGCGACAGGAAAGCTTCAACGCTCTTGGAGCACGCGTGCAGCGAGTGACAATTTAGTCGCCGGCTCGCCATCTCTCTCCTCGCCTCTATGCTCCAGTCTAGCTTTCGAACCTACGTGTCTTACCTTGTTGCTAGCTAATCCCTCTCTATCGTACTCGCTCTAATAGTGCTTCAAGTTGTCAATCATGAAGCACATATTATCACACCATCTATAATGAACACATTGGTCATGATTTTCTATATTAAAAGTAACGCAAGTCCTGGCAATCACAATAACAATCACAATAAGTAAAAGTTTTACTTTCTTCGTCCCAAAATAACTTTATTTTTAATCTTAGATATACAAAACGAGGTAACAAAAGAATCACATATACCGAAAAGTAGTATTAGTGAATGGATAATTGAGGTTGGTAAGGGGTATTGATAGAACAAAGCTCAACGATTTACATATCGAAGATAAGAAAGATATAAATTTTTAGAACAGACAGGTACCGTTATAGGGTCATGTTACTTTGGAGAAGCGCTGTAAAACCCGCGAGTCAAATCGGACGTTATCGACAAGCATTAAGGTACTACAGTAAACTCAGTAAACGGCAGCATATCATAAACAGGTGTGGACTGGGCGGCACAATCGTAAAGGAGTTTGTTATTGATTTGATAATCACAATTGAACATTAATGTCATTTTAAACTATATCGTTGTATTGTTTGGTATTGATAAATATATGACTTTGGTATTGATAAATATATGATAATATTTAGTTTGTTACTAAATTGATCATGCCTAGAGAATATGGCAAATATTAAGTCTATCCTACCAAAATTTGACAATGCTACCAATTTGCCAGAAGTTTGGTAATTCCTTCTTGTGCTGGTGCAGTTGCCAACTCCTTTTTTTTCTTTTTTGAGAACCATGCAGTTGCCAACTCGAATCTACAGGGCATAAGAATATGTATGTATGAGCAACGAAAGCATCATCTATTTGGAAGTGAAATTCCCAGAACTCAAAAACTCCGCCGCCCAAAACTCCACAAATAGGAAGCAAAGGTGCCCATCTAACAAAAAGATACACCCCAGATCCTACAATCTTGTGGAACAAATTTCAAACTCGTCGCGAAACGTTCCTTAAAATTTCGGACCTAACTACTCTCCTGCTCATTGGCTGTCTGTAAAATCAGCATCGATGACATCACCTTCCTCGCCTCCTGGCTTCTCGGATGGGCCAGCAGAGCCAGCGGCAGCATCAGCTCCTGGGGTAGGTCCTGCTCCTGGGGCACCCTGCTGGCTGTAGAGGGCCTGCCCCAGCTGCATCACTTCCTGGTTCAGAGCAGCGAGAGCATCCTTCATCGTCTGTGTCGAGCCACCTGCAACAGCGTCCTTGAGCTCCGTCAGCTTCGCCTCAACCTTACCCTTCACATCGCCTGGGACCTTGTCACCGAGCTCCTTCAATTGTTTCTCAGTCTGGTAGATGACAGACTCTGCCTGGTTCTTGGTGTCGATTGCGTCCCTCTTCTCTTTGTCCTCCTTGGCAAACTTCTCTGCTTCTTCAACCATCTTCTCCACCTGAACAGTTTTTGATGGATATAAGTCAATATAAGATCCTAGCAGGTATTAGTCAATAAGACAGTGACTGCGAGTTTGCTCGAGACATACCTCATCCTTCGGCAATGTGCTGGCACCAGTTATCGTAATGTCCTGCTTCTTTCCAGTACCCTTGTCTACGGCGCTGACAGAAAGGATGCCATTGGCATCGATGTCAAACTTAACTTCGATTTGTGGAACACCCCGTGGGGCAGGAGGAATTCCATCAAGCCGAAAGCTACCAAGAGATTTGTTGTCCCTGACAAACTCTCTCTCTCCTTGGAGGACATTGATCTCCACGCTAGTCTGGCCATCAGCAGCGGTTGAGAAGACCTCTGACTTGGAGGTGGGCAAAGTTGTGTTCCTTGGGATAATCTTGGTCATCACACCACCCAGTGTCTCCAAACCCAGAGAAAGTGGTGTTACATCAAGAAGAACAATGTCGCTCACATCACCAGACAACACTCCTGCCTGTTGTCAAAATTTTGCCAGTCAGATATTCTGTAGTTCAGTAGAGTACATTTGCTTTCTGACTCTAGAAGATAATCAATCCTAGAACACCAGTGAGACACACACTGATTGCTCCCTATAGCTAAAATTTAGATACCATGCATATGATGTACTAAATTCCATCGAGTCTTGCCTGACATTATTTATCTAGAGCAACATATTGAACTTCAGTTTTTATGACAACATATTTTTCCCAACCAATATCTCCAGAACCTGACAAAAGGAGTTGGTTGTGATGACAAGGCCTTTACCCATCGCATCCATTTCAAACCATTTTTTTAAGGATCATTTGTATATCGTCACATTCTCCGCAGATTTCATATTACTAGTGTGAACAATGTTGCAAGTTTTCCACATGTAAGGATAGAACAAAATAGCACATTTATTTTAAAATCCATTGCAAAGCTTTTGGTGATATGATATCACAAGTATCTAAGTAGTATGGTAGACTCATTTAGGCAGCAGTTAACTTGGGCTATGATTAACTCACCTGAACAGCTGCTCCAAGTGCAACAACCTCATCAGGGTTGACAGTCACATTGGGGTCCTTTCCAGTCATTTTCTTCACAAGATCCTGCACAGCTGGAATTCTGGTGGAGCCACCGACAAGGATCACCTCATCTATGTCTTTAAATGACAACTTTGCATCTCTGAGGGCATTGTCCACAGGGGTCCTCAACCTAGAAGACAGTTGATAAAACATTAGCAGTGTATCATTTTTTTTCTATTTTTGAGTTATCTTAATAGAACTAATTTATCATACATACAGTAGTTGTCAAGTGCATATACAAAAAAAATACATGCATGCCCTTGGTTCAAATGAGCATTAATTAGCAAGGTATGATCATATGTACCTGTCAAGAAGATCTGAACATAGCTCCTCAAATTTAGCCCTGGTAAGAGTTGTCTCGATATGCTTGGGCCCATCAGCAGTAGCTGTAATGAAGGGTAAACTGAAAGAAGCATAACCAATGGTTAGAATCAACCAAGGGAATCAAAGGATTGCTACCCAAAAGGAAACAGTCCAATAGCACAATGCTGCAGCAAATCAAGGCGGTCAAGCAAGCTAACCTGATATTTGTTTGGGTCAAGGATGATAGCTCCATCTTTGCCTTCTCAGCTGCTTCTGTAAGACGTTGCAAGGCCTGCTTGTCTTTTAGTAGGTCAATACCTTCATCATTCTTGAAGTTCCCCGCCAGCCAATCAACAACCCTCTGCCAATGACAATGATTTGTGAGCATATACATCTTGTAGAACAGTAAGAAATGATGCTAAAAGATCTAGCAGCTACAGAAAATTATAACAAATATACATGACGTAAGACCCTTCAAATTAAGCAAAAGATATGATTACCAAATGATGAATTAGAATATTACGATTACTGAGTCGGTCCATCCATTTGTTTCATCATATCGTACATGTTTAATGAAGATTCAAATAATTCAGGCATCCAAAATTCCACCATAGAGAAATTTATTATTTATTCACTGTCCCCAGTTTGACTAGAGATTAAGAACTTCAAGAAAAACCATAGGGCATATATATGTAGTACTGAATTTACTGCCAACTTATCATCCCCTAATCACCCAGAATTAAAGGCTCATAAATAATCAAAGATTTGGATGGAATATACTTCACTACGAAACTAATTGAGTCCCTAAATCAATTCTTAACGGTTCCGATATGTATAGTTCAAAACTTGAGTCCATATCAACACATTAATACTACTAAAAACTTAATTTTATATATTGAAAAAGACTGTTCCTTGAAATCTCGGAAAGCAAAACTAACCTTGTCAAAGTCATCACCACCAAGGTGAGTGTCACCAGATGTAGACAGCACCTCAAAAACACCATCACCAACTTCAAGAACTGAAATCATCACCCAAAATATAGTTAGGAGCTGAATTCTCATTTAAGAGATGAAAAGTGTTAATTTAATTAACATTTGACAGACGAACCAAAATGAAGTACACCCAGAAGGATGAATGGATAAACAAAGTTCAATAGAACAGATTTGATCTTATCAACACAACACAATGTGACCATAACGGCATAATGTTACTATAATAATTCCTTCAGTCTGGAAATGCCCCTTTTCTGAGGAACCTAATCATTCTCCTGTCACAAATTATCACAACGTATTTGGAAAATTGCTACTATTGCCATAAGATCGTAGTATTTGAACATACAGAGTCCTCATAGCACTGAGCAAAAAGTTGTTTAGACCAGCATTAGCCTTTGAAAATTCATTACAACTGTCAGAACTACAACTGAATGTAATTAAATAACTGAAAAAATAATTGTCCATAACAGCAAGAAAAAATGTTTTTATTTTTAGTTTTTTGACAAATACTTCACTTGGTTATGTTATGTCAATAAAAAATACACTACAACAGAGTACGTGAAAAGATGCAAATAGTGGTTAAAACAACAATAACTGGTTAAAACTTGTAGTTGCAAATAGTGTTCAGAAAGGCACCGTAATTGTAGGATAGATACCTGAAACATCAAATGTGCCTCCTCCCAGGTCAAAAACAAGAATGGTCTCATTGTTCTTCTTTTCAAACCCATATGCCAAAGATGCTGCAGTAGGCTCGTTTATGATGCGGAGAACTTCCAACCCAGCAATCCGGCCAGCATCTTTTGTTGCTGTCCTTTGTGAGTCATTGAAATATGCTGGGACTGTGATCACTGCCTTTGTGACTTTATCGTTCAAGAACTTTGATGCATCATCCACCAGCTTTCTAAGCACCTGGAGAACATAAAATGATCAACACTCGGATTAAAAACAATTTGAACCATAAAACTTATTTTGCAGGCATACATAAAACATTTGCATGCACATGCTATTTCAGTTTTTGCCAACAGATCCCCAAAAGAAAATGGCACATTCGACTCCACCAAAATTACCCATCTAGGCCTAGTAATTGATGAAAGAACACCAGTAGGAAATATTGTACTGATGAAAACAAAGCAAACATGAAGGGAACCCACAGGATTTGCACTATAAGCTGTCAAGCTCAAAGCATATAAGATGTCTAACTCAGTCCATATATATATATAGACTGCATCAAAAATCCACGTGCACATATTTAGATATATACAAAGAGCAAGGGCTGTTCAGTACAAATATCCTACTACCTGCATTCCCTTTTGTGAAGTGCCGTTTTAAAAAAAAAAAAAGAATTCTATAGTTTTGTGAAGAATATGCTAAACAAAGCATACAGGATGGGATTCTATTTGTGAGACACCAAAAACACTGTTATGGAAGCTGTGCTATTGTTGGCATCAAGAGAAGTCAAGGCGAGATTAAGCAATTAACCATTAACCCATTATTCCATAGAGCTTCATGAACAGTCACGATCCTATAAGCTAGAAATCAAAACTGGCCACATCTAAGCAACGCAACAGGATTCCATCTTCCAAAGCATTCTTTCTAGATTCTAGCCGTCAGAACCCCTCAATTGATGATCAATTCCAACACATGGTAAACAATCACAAAGCGTAAGCCACCCCTATACCTGGGCGGAGATCTCCTCGGCGGCGAACTGCTTGCCAATGGCGGGACAGTCGAGCTTGACGTTGCCGTTGTCGTCCCTGATGACGCGGTAGGAGACCTGCTTGGACTCCTCGTCGACTTCGTTCATCTTGCGGCCGATGAAGCGCTTGACGGAGAAGAAGGTGTTCTCCGGGTTGACGACCGCCTGTCGCTTGGCGATCTGCCCCACCAGCCGGTCACCGGACTTGGTGTAGGCGACGACCGACGGCGTGGTGCGGGCGCCCTCGGCGTTGGTGACGATCGTCGGCTTGCCGCCCTCCATGGCCGCCACCGCGGAGTTGGTGGTCCCGAGGTCGATCCCGACCACCTTCTCGCACGCCACCCGCAGCGGCCGCCACCTCCGGCCCCCGCCGCGCCCGTACACCGCGGCGGCGGTGCGGACGGAGACGGACGGGGACGGCCGCCGCCTGCCATGGTGGGCGAAGAAGGGGGTCGAGGTGGGGAAGGTCGTGGTCGCCATGGCCACCGAGAGAGACCGCTGGTGCTAGCTAGGTCACGAAACCCTAGGGGAGGGAGGGAGGAAGGAGAAGGTCGTGGTGGATTCGAGTGGTGGGTTTTTTGAGAGATTGGGGGAGAAATGGCGAGAGGTTGGGGGAAGGATAAGGAAGGGGAGGGAGGGTTTTATAGACTTCGCGTGTGGCCACCACACTTTGGAGGCCAGCCTGTGGCCTCTTCTTTCTTCCCTTGGATTTTTACTATGGTTGTGGTGGTAAATCACTTCAGTTCATATCACTCCAGTAATAATACTTAGATTAGAGTAATGCTACACATGTTACAAATAATATCACCCTAGTTAGTCTATGTGAAAATGAAATGAAGATTCAATCACAACGTACCACATCAATTTTTATCTGATATACTTGTACATGAGATTTTTTTTCTTTTACAAGTATCATTTTTTTTTACCAATACCATGTTGTGACATATATTTATAATCAGATAATTTAAATTTAGCTTCAATTTTTATTTATTATGATATAAGATAAGAAAAGATATTTGCTCCGGTCAATAAAAGTAGTACTCCCTCCGTTTCAAAATATTTGACACAGTTGATTTTTTAGCACATGTTTGACCGTTCGTCTTATTAAAAAAATATGTGGTCAAACACGTACTGAAAAGTCAACGGTGTCAAACATTTTGAAACGGAGGGAGTATTTGATGTTAGGACGTTGTCGATTAGAGTTGAAGGGAGTATATTAGAAAATGTATCCACTTATTTATTGTAAGTCATAAATTTTAATCATTTGGTGATAAGGACTTTTCAAACACTTTAGTCTCAAAATATTACATCTAAGAATCATCCTAGTAGCAACATTTTGAGACAACATAGTATCTAGAACTTTTGTAAAATTTGGTTAGTGATAATTAGTAAATGCATACCATTATTCCATATCAATCCCTGCCAACTAGTGTTCTCTTAGAGGAAGTTTAATAGTATAGCCAACTACTAGCTCCAAATCAACTATAGCCAACGTAATAGTCAATTCATACAATAGTTGTTTACTATACTATTAATACTTGGTCCCACATCTCATACACACATGACGTCTTGGAGTCCGTGCTGTAGCTGACTATAAATCTGTAGCCCGCTGCTTTTCTTTCTCTTTCTTAAGCCTGCTATTGTACCTGCTCTGAACCGGTAAAAACCTCGCAGTAGGCTGATCCTATGTTTCTGGCCCAGAAATTCTGGGTGTGGCCACACGGTTGGGCAGGGAGCTGTGGCTGGAGCAGTGCATCCGGGAGGTGGTGGAACGTTCTGGAATCAACGGGACGGGGTAGTAGCTAGGGAGCACACGCAGTAAGCTCGCGGAGGCGTTGAGAAGAATGTGACACCTGCTCGCCCGCGTCCGCAAAGCGCACGGACCGTATCGCCGACAGGTGGGGCCGCCTCTACCGGCAGGGCCTTGGACCACCGTTGCGTGGGGCGGGTCGCTGGAATCCTGCGGTTGATGAATGGCCACGACGACGGGGCGACGTGGTACTATGCAAGCGGACGAACCAGATCGCGTGGCTTGGATGAAGGTACCCATCGGTTGGCAATAAGCCGTACTATAAAATCAGCGCGCCGACTGATTTATGGTCTGTCACCATGGTGAGCTTCTCTGTATGTCCATAATCTTTCCTGTTTATTCAGAATTAGTTTTATGCCAATGAAATTTGTAACAAAAAAATTCACACATTGTGATCCCTTAATTAGTGATTTCAATCCTTCCCTCGTCACTTACAGTCTTAATGAACACCTAAAATAGGTAATATTGTATAGTGGCTTAAAAATTTATAACTCCAACTGTGGGATCTGTCTGATAACTAAAAAAATATTGTCCTAGACTCCATGATGTAAAATTTGCTAGGTTAAATTAGACCAGATTTTGTTTTTAGAATTGCATGTAACATTTTATTTTTTAAAATTATTCTTACCTTAATTTTTCCTATGAATTTACTTTTTGCCATCTTCTCGAGAGTGCTCAAATGCCACTCTCCCAAAATTTCATTCCCAAATGCCACCCGGACCTACACGTCGGCCTCACACATCACCTGGTCCCATGTTACTTTTGTTTGAATGAGAAAAGAGGCTGACATGTGGGCCCGGATAACATTTTAGCAAAAAGTAAATTCTCCCTCTAATATTTAGTCTGCATTAATTTTGCTTGTAAAATTTCCTTGATGGCTAACATTGATCTCTTTTTTTTCCTTGTTATTTTCCTCCTCTTACATGCAGCAGCAGGTGTTGCCCGGCCAGTAGGGCACCCAAGGCCCAGCACGCGCGCCTGACGACATTCGTCCGCTCGTCGCGCGTCCTTTCCTTCCAGCCGGTAGCGCACGTCCTCGCACATGGGCCAATCGGCCCAACCTCACTGGGAGCAGGCCCAACTCGGACGCGCGTACGCGAGAAATCGGGAAGGCACGAGTAGAAAGAAAATAATCAGAGCAGAATCAGAGATCGCACGGGGGACACGTGGCTAATTTTCAGGGGAGCTAATCCTCCCAGGGAGCCACGTGGCCGAATCATATGCCTGATTTTTATCCCTAAAATCGGTTTAGATAAGATTAGCGAAAAGATAATTTAAAATCAGAACTTTTATATATGTGTCCAACTGTCCATAACAACTTAAAAGTAAATACTAAAACGAAACTACGTTAAAAATACTTTAAAATCTGGCAACGGCTTATTATTTATAGAGAAATGATGAGGCCCGAAAACAGTGTCGGAAATTCCTGCTAATCGAGCATCATTTTTATAAAAAGTACCTCTCTCACTGTTTCAATCTAAAAAGTTCTTTTACAATTGTATACACATACATAAAGTATTAAATATAGGTTAAATAAATAACTAATTGCATATATTGCGACTAATTTGCGAGACGAATTTTGTAAGCCTAATTGCTCAATGATTTAACAATGTGGTGCTACAATAAACATTTGCTAATGACGAATTAGTTAGGCTTAATAAATTCATCTCGCGGTTTACTGATGGATTCTGTAATTAGTTTTTTATTAGTGCCTGAACACCCTATGCGACACCCTATATAATACCCGATGTGACACGCCGAAACTTTACGATCCTTGTTGACACCCTCTAAATGCATCATGTGAGTACTTCGCTTCTGATGAAGGGGTGCAAGATGAGCAGGAGAATGATTTTAGTGTAGTATCTACAACCTTTGTTGTTCATCCCTATTCCTAGGTTCATTTGTTTCTTTAGAGGATCATTCTATTTGCAAAAGAATTGATGATATTACATAATGAAAGTTTCTTGTAATTCTTTTCATTTGCGTATTTCTATGGGTAAGATCATGTATTATGGGGCAACCATCACATGAATATAAAACAAAGGATGGTATTTCATGAAAAAAAAGGTAGGATGACGTGATCACGGCTACTATGTATAAAACCATTGCTCACATCATATATCATCAAGGAAGGTGTCGTTTAGCGCAACACAGGGGAGTAACGCACGATTAGGAGTCACACATTGATAAGAAAAAGCAAATGCTGAAAAATAAATTATAATAAAAAAAAGCAAATTAGATATTAGGCTTTTTTTTTACCAAACTTTGAAAGTGGACTAGGGCTAACATAAGATTTTTGCAATTTGGCAAAGTTCTACAATCTGAGCCCCTCCACGCAGGCACACCGTTGATCTTCTCCTCTAAGCGGTTACTCCCTCCGGTTCTATATTAATTGATGTTTTGGATAAGGTTGAGGTCAAACTTTTATAACTTAGACTATTAATAACTTTAAAAATATTTAGTTTAAAGGAACTAGAACAACATATATAGATTTGTCTTTTAAAGTACTATAATAAAAATAAACATGCATTTATTTATTATATATATTATAACAGAAAAAAAAGATCAAAGATGTATCTTGTAGACCGTGTCATTGTCTAAAACGTCAATTAAAATGAAACCGGAGGGAGTACACGCAATCTGGTCACTGCCAAGGCACCACTACTGTCCTCGAAGGTATCCATACCAGCCCAGGGACGCATATCATAGGATTATGGTCCAAACTGCATTGCATAGTGCAATCTGCGCTTCTTCTTGTTGTTTCCCTCATTATCTAGAGCGCCGAGATTAGGGCCAGTGTTGCCAACTTGGGAGCGGCATCTTCTATTAATTGTTGTTTCTCTTATCATCCGCGATACCCATGAGGAGAATTAGAAAATTATTAACGGAGTTTAGGTTAACTGACGATTCACATTAAGCTTGATCAACAGCACTCCACAAAAATGCAAAGGCCATATGTTAGAGGACAAGTCACGTCATGGCAATAATCAGGACACCATAGGAAGAGATTAGCTCTCAATGTGAGCCACCGGTCCAACTTAAAGACTTTTATAGTACAAAACCTGAAAACATTGTCTACGGAGTAGTGCATTGCAATGGGAAAACTAATGTTATGATAATAATATATGTTATGATAATAATCTATCTATTAACTTAGTAAAGTAATAGAAAAATGAGCATTCTTATGGTTTAGAAATTATTATCATATTAATTGGAGTAAAATAAAAAAATAAGGAGAATTCATTGTAGACAAGGACTCTTTCATTTTCTTTTTTTCTAAAAAAAACAAATACGTTATATATGTGTAGTGTCCAATCGGACAGCTGCATAAAACAAATCTTTTGCAAGGAAAAAAAACCTAAGCTGGATAGATTAATCTCTCTATACAAATTAATACAAAGTATTGCTATTTTTTAATTTTTGTTGAATAAAATTTAGAAAAAGAAATGAAATTTGGAATTAAGAAAAGAAATATTGAAATATGAGTAGTTCATATAGAAATAAAATTTATAAAATAACAAAAATTATAAAATAAATTATATTTGATGAGGATTCTAGAATATTCTCCCAAAGAGGTTAGAGTGCATATAGGAATACAATTTAGAAAAAGACTTCAAATTCAAATAAAAAAATAATATTGAAATGAGAGTTTAGAGTTTGTATAGAAATACAATTAGAAGTAATGTAAATAAATCGATATCATGAAAAACGTATAGCCAAATTTCTTATTGGTTCAATTTAGCTAGAATTAAATTAATAAGCAGTCATAAACGATTAAAATAATACTAATGCTATTTCTGAAAATACAAAAATACTTAAAATCACTGAGAGAGAAAAAATGATTTTAGCCTTGCCCAAATATATGTCCCTCTTCTGTGCTACGTATGTGCGGTCCATGAGGCGGCCCAATGGCGACTTGGCCTAGGAATGACGCCCGACCCAACACGGCAGAAGCCAGGGTCGTCCGATCTGATGGACGGTCCCGATTGATCCTGACCTAAATGAATATCCAACAGCTTAAACCCTAACCTTAAAATCATTTCCCCCATACCCTTGCTCTCTCTCTCGAAAAGCAACGGCGACGGCTGTGATGATTCCAGCGGGCGGCAACGGTAGCGCCCTTCCCCACCGAGCAGATCCGGCTACGACGGCGGCGTTAGCGTCCTCCCGCGGCTTCCCACAAGCGGATCAGGAGGCGATGGGGGCACCCTCCCCATTTTCCCACGGGCAGATCTGGCGGCGACGGTGGCTTCCCGTGGGTGGATCCGGCGGTGACGAAGATTGAGATAAGATTGTGCGGTTTTTATTATTTTTTCTAGTTCTTTTTCTCTTTCTTTGGATTGTCTGATTGGATTTCGATCTGACTTATGGACAAAAAATTGATGTTACGGACAAAAAATTGATGTGACAAACTGAAAGTTACAATTTTTTTAAGTAACCACACGTGCAATTTAGTTTCAAAATACTCTAAAAATCATTAGGGAGTACCTATGCATCTTTCGAAAGATTTTTATGATCGTATCACACAGATTTTTAATATTTGGATTAAAATCTGATAGACACAGTAAAAGGTAAAAAGCAACTAAGAAACACCATAATGGACACTAAATTATCCTATCTTCAAGAAAAAGTCCAAATCCAATACAAATTTCGAAACTTACATGTGAAGATTCAAAAATTACACAGTAACAAAGTTACAATGTAAGTTTCATAAATTACACTGCAACTTACAAGAAAATGCACTGTAAATTTGAGTGAGAAAATCGAGTGAGAGATAAGAAAAAAATCTTTTGAGTGAGATATAGCAAAATCGAAATCACAATGATTTAAGCTAGGAAAAAGTACACCGAAGGTCCCTCAACTTAACATCGGGATAAAAAACATCCTCGAACCGCAAAACCAGATACCACGGATCCCTTAAATATACAAACCGGTCACAATAGGTCCCTCAGTGGTTTTGATCTCGGTTTTGTCCTACGTGGCTGCTGAGTCAGCGTGGGACCCACGTGGGCCCCACATGTCATCGTGCCACATCAGCCTACTCTCTATTTTCCCCTCTTCTCATCTCTCTCACTCTCTCTTCTCAGGGCGGCGGGGGAAGGAGCGGAGGCCACTGGCGAGGGTGGCGTAGACTAGCCGACGTTAGGGGGAGGAGGCCAGTGGGGCGCGGTCCCGCGCCACCGCCCGCCACGTGCTCCGTGAGGTGGGCCGCGACGACGTCGTCGTCGTCGACGGCCGCGCCGTCTCTGCCCAGTTCGCCATGGCTGGCGTAGACCCGGGCACTGCGACGGTGGCAGGAAGGCGAGTGTATGTGAGGAGGCCGGTGGGGCGAGGCGGGACCGGCGTCAACGGGGCGAAGCGGCGGGTGTGCCGGAGACCCAGTAGGACCAGATTCGGGCGCTCAAGCGCTTCAATGTCGGCGAGGACTAGCCCGTCTTCGACGGCCTCTACAGCTTCTGCCAGACCTACGCCGGCGGCTCCATCGACGGTGCCATCAAGCTCAACCACGGCCACGACATCGCCATCAACACCCTCGAGCTCGCCTGCGCGGCGACACCCTCCCCTTCTCCAACGGCGCTGCCCCCGCCGACGCCGACGTCCTCCTCTTTCTCCCACCTCCTGGGCCTCTCTGACCCTAAGACGGTGGGGCAGGGGAGAGGGCGAGAACCGCGGCGACGGCCTCCCGCGCCCACCCTCACCCGCCGCCACCCAGCTCCTCTCCTGGTAACCATGCCGCCCGCGCCAAGCTCCATGTCGCCGGCTGCGCACTACTCTGCCCCCGATGGCCGCACCCTGCTCCTCCCCCGACGGTCGCGCTCAGCTCCTCCCCCGGCGACGGTGGCGGCGTGGGAGGACGGCAGTGAGAGGCCGTGCGGCACCGGCAATCGGTGTCCAACGGTCTCGCCGAGGGCTTCTGCCTCATCGCCCTCCTCGAGTTCCTCTACTAGGAGGCCCCCGACGCCATGCGCAGCCTCACCTCCGCCTACGCCGCCCTCGCCGATGGCCTCGGCTGCTTCTTCGCCGGTGGCCTACGCCGCCCTTGCTGGTGGCCTCCGCTCCTTCCCCCTCCGTCCTGAGAAGATAGAGTGAGAGAGATGAGAAGAGGGGAAAAGAGAGAGTATGCTGACGTGGCACGATGACATGTGGGGCCCACGTGGGTCCCACGCTGACTCAGCAGCTACGTAGGACAAAACCGGGATCAAAACCGCCAAGAGACCTATTCTGACCGGTTTTGTATAGTTAAGGGACCCTCGGTATCTGGTTTTACGGTTCGAGGACGTTCTTGTATCCCGATTTCAAGTTGAGGGACCTTCGGTGTACGTTTTCCTTTAAGCTACGATGGGAGGCCGGAGGCCCAGTTAATTAAGCACAACTTGGCATGGGCCAGGGCCCGTTTAGCCCAACACAGAACATGGATAAATACACCACCCATTCGCCAAAGAGCAAGGTAGGCAAGGCACGCGAGCCCTAGCCGCCAGCCGACTCGACCAGCGCCCGGAGGCGGAGCACCCGCCGCCGCCGCCCTCGCCATCGTCGGCTTCACCCCTCATCGGCAACCTAGTGCAGGTGAGCTCCATCTCCACCCCTCCTCATCTCCTCTCCTCCCCACACCATCTTTCCTAGTCTCCCTCTGTTGCTTCCTCGGATCTGCTTCGCTCTCGTGCTCTACGCCTCACACGACGCGCTCTTCCTCGTCGCCACCAACTTTGTTGCTGCGCGCGCGTACGTCGGTGCGCTGTGCGCGTTCTACTTAGTTTGCCTTGTGATGCTGCTCTTAGTCGGGTTAGTGCTTCGTGCTGTGCTCGCTGGTTTGGCGCTTCAGATCTGTGTGCTGTTTGCTCTCGGAGACGCTAGATCCATAGTCGTCGACTTGCAAATGCTGCGAGCTAATATGATTCTTGTTGGATTTCTTCGCTCCTAGCGTGAGAAATCCGAAGAATTGGGAGAACACGGTCTTTTTTTTTGTCCCAATAAATTGGTTGGATTGTTCTAGTATATATTTTTTATTATTTTTTTCTCCCAAATTGTTGGAATGGCTTCTCCCTCTTTCCCAACTGGTTGGATTCCAAATTGTTGGAATGGCTTCTCCCTCTTTCCCAACTGGTTGGATTGAGGTGAAGCGTGCTTACTGTATTTTTTCCACCTGGATTTGGTACTATCTTTACTCTCTGAACTAGTTGGGAACGGATATTCCAATCTCCTGTCTCTTCGTGTGACTTCTTTCTGCTTCCACGTGGGGTTCTGGAATCTTCAATTCACTGTAGTATAAGTTCATATCTTATTTATTCTCATAGACTATGATTTGGTCGACTTCGCTCATATATTGCCGTGTAGTAGAGGGTTTTTACAATTATTCACGTTCTTGGATTGCTGAGATATCATGGTTAGTTGTGCTGTTTGAACTGGTTATGGCCCTCCCGCTGTGAATTGCCAAGGTGTCTGAATGTTGGTGATTTTGTGGATAGTTCACGTGTTGGACAAAGAATGCATTATAGGAGTGACAAATATGACTGGTTTTTGCAAAACCGGTATATATTGTGGTTATGTTCCTTGGAGTTACAAATAACTTGCAGTAATGTTTGAACTGTGGGATGGTTATGACATACATCTTATATTGGGTCGTGTGTGAACTGTTTGTTCATCTGGATGATGCATAATTCACACGAGTTGGATGAAAGGTTCTACCTGAAATGGAAGAATATGTTTGGTTTCTGTAATTTCGTTGATTTGTTGGTTACATCTCTTTGTTGTATATTTTATCTTTTTAGGTGATGTAGCTATATCTGTTTCCTTTTATATGACAAGACGTTGTGTGAAAGAGGGTTCCAGATTTATTTAGATTTTACGTTGTCATTGTGGTCTTGTGGTAATTGATATTCATTGTTTGTTCAGATTATTTTAATTGAGTATTATACTCCCTCCGTTTCATAATGTAAGTTATTCTAGCATTGTCCACATTCATATAGATGTTAATAAATCTAGACATAGCATCTATGTGAATGTGGGCAATGCTAGAATAACTTACATTATGAAACGGAGGAAGTAGTAATTAACTACCTTTGTACTTATTTTGAATATTCTACTTGTTCGTTCTAACTATTTGTCAGTAGAGCATTCTAACGTTTTACAGCTTGGCAAATTTTTGCATGTCATTATCGTATCCAGTTTTCCACCTAACTGAAATCCATGTCCTGAAATTGCTTTTTCATAGGTTGTTTTCTGAAGATGGCTGACGATTTGGGCCCTCCCACTGTGCTCCAGAAGATACATGGGCAGTCCATGATGTTCAGCAAGATCTCACCTTATTCTTTGATGAAGAATCCCGCACTCTACAATGCCAACACTTCTTACAGTGTGCCTCTGAAGTCATACAATGGGATGGATGGGAACAATGGGTTCTCATCTGTCACATCTGTATCCCCAGTCTTTGCTTCTGCCCCAAAGGAGAAAGGTCTTTCTGGGTTTATGATTGACTTCATGATGGGTGGAGTTTCAGCTGCTGTCTCCAAGACTGCTGCTGCTCCCATTGAGCGAATCAAGCTTCTCATTCAAAACCAGGATGAAATGATCAAGAGTGGTAGGCTCTCTCACCCATACAAAGGTATTGCGGACTGCTTTGGCCGCACAATTAAGGATGAAGGTGTGATTGCACTGTGGAGAGGGAACACTGCTAATGTCATCCGTTACTTTCCTACCCAGGTACTGCATCCTACTGTCTGTTTTTTATTTATTCTCCCCTTGGATGTTGACTTATATTGTACATTTGCTTAGGCCTTGAACTTTGCCTTCAAAGACCATTTCAAGCGCATGTTCAACTTTAAGAAGGACAAGGATGGTTACTGGAAGTGGTTTGCTGGAAACCTGGCTTCTGGAGGAGCTGCTGGTGCTTGCTCTCTCTTCTTTGTGTATTCTCTGGATTATGCTCGTACTCGTCTGGCTAATGATGCCAAGGCTGCAAAGAAGGGTGGTGGGAGGCAATTCAATGGACTTGTTGATGTTTACCGCAAGACCCTTGCGTCTGATGGTATTGCTGGTCTGTACCGTGGATTCAACATCTCCTGTGTTGGTATCATTGTCTATCGTGGGCTGTACTTTGGAATGTATGATTCTCTCAAGCCAGTCGTTCTTGTTGGCAACCTTCAGGTTAGTGAAGTGAATGCAATCTTTGTTCATCTTCTGGCAATTTTTTATTTATTCCATAAGGTTGCTCCACTAAAATACCTCGCGCTCAAATATTTTGCCTTTCTCATTGCTTCATTTGTTTTGGTTTAGTTGAATCTACTCAATGTCTCTATACTCCTGCTGGTTGTTATATTTACTTCTGATAATATGTGATATATGTTATTTTCAGGATAACTTCCTTGCCAGCTTCTTACTTGGTTGGGGCATTACCATTGGTGCTGGCCTTGCTTCATACCCAATCGACACTGTTCGTCGTCGGATGATGATGACATCTGGTGAGGCTGTCAAGTACAACAGCTCCTTGGATGCGTTCAAGCAGATTGTTGCGAAGGAGGGTGCGAAGTCACTCTTCAAGGGCGCTGGTGCTAACATTCTGCGTGCTGTTGCTGGTGCTGGTGTGCTTGCTGGATATGACAAGCTGCAGGTGGTCGTCTTTGGTAAGAAGTACGGTTCTGGTGGTGGCTAAGACTAGATGATGATGATAAGCAGTGGGGAACTATGGACATATTAGGTGCTTTCGGATGCTGTTGCGTTTAAATAAATTTAACGTATGGACACCGTTTACATGTTATTAGGCGTCAGGTGAGGTTTCTGAGTGTGTAAATCGGTGGCAGATGCTTATGCCTTTTTTGTTGGGGGATCGAGCAAGACGAGTTTTCCTAGTTGAAAACATGCCAAATTATTGTCTGTGAAAGCGTTTCTTGAGATTGTTATTGATGTGGTTCCTAGTCGATTATATAGATTATCACTCCATTGTAGCATCTTCGGGATTTTGTCTTATCTAACCACATATGCAAAAAAAAAAGAAAAAAAACCCTTGTTATCTTATTATGTGAGAGGTAGGACTTAGAAGCTGTTCAGGATATTTTTTGTGGTTTGCAAGCTGACTTTCTGAGGACATAACATTCCTTGAGAAAATTTAATTTGTGTAGATAACACAAGCACGCAAACATCCGCGGGGCTGCGCTGACATGCCGGAGTAGTAATAAATGAAACAGAAATAAAACTCCTCAAGGACTTGTTTGGTTAATCCTTGTGAGGAAGGGATTGGAAAGCCTTGTTTAGTTAATCCCTATGAGGTAGGGATTGGAGCAAATTTATTCCACATCTATTGTGGTGTGAAATTATTAAATGAAAGAGAAATAAAACTCCTCTAGGCCTTGTTTGGTTAATCCCTGTGAGGAAAGGATTGGAAGGCCTTGTTTGGTTAATCCCTATGAGGGAGGGATTGGAGGAAATTTATTCCACATCTATTGTGGTGTGAAATTATTCTCCCTTAATCCCCTCCCATCTTCTTCAATCCACTCTAAAACGAACAAGGCTCTCTAAACCGAACCAGGCTTTAAGAATTCATCCTCGTGTTGACATGGCGGAGTAGTAAATCAAACTCCTTAATTCGTCTTTGCGAAGATGGGAATTTTGGGGATCTGTACTCCTTAAGAATGTCAGAGTGAATTTGTTTTGTACTCAGTAATGTAGGAATTTTAAGCCTCCTTTGACCTTTGGGAAGAGGTCTTGTACGATTTGAATAATAATATGGGAAAATTTCTTGTTGAGCGAACAAAGTAGAATTTCTTGTTGAGAGCGAACAAAGGAGTGAGACTAAGAGAATTCTACAAAATTCTTTTAGAATGACAAAAACATGGGTTTTTAGAAACATGATTCCTACATTTTTTATACAATTTTTCATACATAGTTTTTTGAAACTAAACCGACAGGAGAACTGTCAATTATATTTCAATTAAGCAGGAGTAAAAACACAGACAGGGTTACAGAAAAGAAAAAAAACAACCACTTGGCGAGTAAACTCGCCAAGTACCTCAACCGTGGCCGGTACAAATCACACAGCACACGGAGCACCACACAACTTCTAGCCAAACTACCACGGCGAAATCCAAAGACAAACATCGACGCTGAGATGCTGAAGAAGTGGCACACGACTTTGACATCACAAGGCGCATGTCATCGTTGCCGAGCTTGCCGCCCAGCGACCAAGCAGCTTCGACTTCACGGCGATCGCAACATCATACAAACTTTTTCTGTGTAAAACTTTTTCTGTGTATCGATTTTCTAGTTTACGCATGTATTCCTATTAAAATCATATCCTTCACGCGTTTCAAATCAAAGTAGCCCTAAGAATAGTACTCCTTGTGAAGGAAATTTTACAAAATTTGTTGAACTCTTGCAAGCAAATCACTTTGTAGTTTGTACGATCCGATTCCAACCCCAAAGGCAGATTGGTCAGCATCAAATATGGCAGGCTGATAATGGTAATGGCACCTACATCACCAACAAAGAACTGCGAACTGCATTGACGGCCACATCAATGGGAGAACATTTCTACGCGCATGATCCGTCACAATCTTACAACAAGGCGGCCGAAAATTCCATAATTACTACTCCCTTCCCTCTGTTCCAAAATACCAAAATATAAGTATTTTTAGCTATAAATTTGAATAACTATATATCTAGATTTATAGCCAAAAGTTATTATATTTTAAAACGGGGATAATATAGTAGTAATGAATAATGATGGCTAGTAAGTTTTTGCACTCCTTCACTCTGACAGGCTCTTTTTTCTCTCTCATAAATATAGTAGAGCTAGGCTTCATTTCGTTAAGAATAAGCATAAAATCCCATTTCCAAAGGAGGGTTCACATTCATTTCATTAAGAGGAAACATAAAAACCCATTTCCAAACGAGGGTTCACAACCCTTACGCGTACTCCTACCCCAAAATAAAACAACAAAACATCATAAGATGACGGAGGTAGTGCTCGTAAGATGCATCACATAAAGATGACACACAACCAATTTGATAAGCACTAATCCACAAAACATCATCTTTGCCACACAAAGAGTGGCAGAACATTGAAGCCAAAAACCTGTCCATGACTACAGCAAAATGTTGCCCACAATTGCTAGTAGTAAGCAAGAATAGAATACAACACCAAGCAGGCATAAAACAGACAAAAGTCCCAGCAACGGGCATTAACACCGACTGTAGCAGCACATGCAGCTGTAGTAAATATTTTTCAGGTGATCGCAGGGAGGACCGGAGGAATAGTCTGGTAGGTCAACTTATTCTGGACCAAGATGTCTGGAATTTATACAGTTGGGCATCAATTTGGAATCTTGGTTCACAGGGATGGTTTATACCATCTTGCCACAACCAGAACACTGAATTTGCATGCTATCCATCATGTACAGAAAAACTAAGCAATCCTAGTGTTTGGATTGAACTGTTATTAAGAAATTCGCCATCTGCTTAAGCGGCTGTTTGGGAAACAGGGACTTATCACATCGGATGTTTGGACATTAATTTAGAGTATTAAACATAGACTAATTACAAAACCCATTCCATAACTTTGGACTAATTCGCGAGACGAATCTTTTGAGCCTAATTACGCCATGATTTGACAATGTGATGCTACAGTAAACTTTTCATAATTATGGATTAATGGCTTAAAAAATTCGTCTAGTGAATTAGCTCTCATTTATGAAATTAGTTTTTTTATTAGTCTATGTTTAATACTCTAAATTAGCGTTTAAACATCCGATGTGACAGGGACTAAAAAGTGAAAACATCAAATCATGAACAAATTGTGGCAGACAACATTAATACTGAAGGGAACCATCACTCCAAAGAACCATCTATTGGTAATCATCAAGTGAGGTATATGTAGCAGTACAGTATTTTTTTTTTATCTAAATGCTAAAGGGAACCATCACTCCAAAGAACTCGCCATCAAGGAGTGATTAGTGTTCTTAGCTGAATGATCAACAAGTAAAATCCCAATGCATGCGACAGAATGCCCATTGGACTATTCCCTACTAAGTACTAATTAATTAGACTTGAGATTTCTGACCTGAATGAAAGAATTATGTCATATAGAGAATTCTCCACAAATGCCATCCAAAATATCCATCATCGTCATCTGAATCATCTGATCATCAGTGCAATTTCGATAGATTATGCTACAGCATGGTTGCTTGATACACCTACGTGCTTTTCTTCGTCATGCTCTGCTTCCGTTCTCTGAAGAGCTCCTTCCAGAGGTTCCAAATCCACAGGTTGCTGACCGTGATGGCGGTGCCGACGACGACGATCCAAGAAATGCGCACCCACCACGGGATGACGTCGACGGCCTGGCCGGACAGGTAGAAGAGGCTCATCTTGAGGAAGAAGAGCGGGCCGGCGACGCCCCTGACGACGGTGTAGATGAAGTAGAAGGGCGGCGACAGCGCCCTGTACACCCTCGCCGCGGCGGGCTTCTCGGCGCGCCAGATCCCGGCGAGCGTCCAGACGTTCTGGAGGAGGCTGGTGACCTCGGCGAGGACGAGGAGGACGAGGAGCGCGTAGGCGCCGTGGCGGACGAGGTAGCGGCAGGTGACGAACACGAAGAGCGTGGCGACGTGGTGGGCGATGAAGAGGGTGTCCCCGGGGAGGAAGGCGAGGTAGTGGAGCAGGTCCATGGTGAAGTAGGCGACGCTGTAGTCGAGGACGTGGTCCTGGAGGCGGGTGTTGGGCGCGGCGAACCCCCTCGCCTCCGGCGGCAGCGCGAGGATGGCGCCCGCCGCGGCGAGCGCGGCGGGCGTGCCGTGCGCGAGGGAGATGAGGCAGCTGGCGCCGTCGAGGCGGAGCGGCCACGCCCACCGCCGGAGCAGGGCGAGTTGGCCGACGCAGTAGATGGCGGCGTACATGGCCAGGAACCCCGGGTACAGCCACCGCTCCTCGGCGGCCAAAGAATCCAGCACCCCCACCACCGCCATGGCCGGACCAAGATTCGCGCCGACGGAGCGAGGGATCCCGCCGCTCCTGGCCGGTCTGCCTCCGATTCGGGCCCAACCCCCCGCGTGCGCGCGAGGCGGAGGCGAGGGGATTCGATCGACGCCGGTAGGGTTTCGGCGGCGGCGGCGGCGGCGGCGGCGGCGGCGGCGGAGGGATGGATGGCTGTGGAGCAGTGTGAAGGGATGGACGGCCGCGTGGATGGTGGGGAACGAAAAGGGGGAGATTTTAAAGCGATTGGTTTTGGTTTGTTTTTTTTTCTTTTCTTTTTTCGATATTTGTTTACGTGGGTTTTGGTTTGGTTTTTCCAAATTAAATTCAAATTAATTTTGGGTTGAGTGATTAGGTAGAGGATTATAGAGGGTTTGCGTGTTAAATTGGGGTTTTGGAAGGAAGGTCAGTCTTCCGGGTGTTGTTTGAATTGAAGATTATATTATGGTTGAGACTTGGGTGCCATGAAATTTCTTCTCGGTTAACTATCATTACAATATTTTGCTGAGTTGGCACGAGTTTTCATATCAAAGTTATATTTTTAGCAGTTTTATGAACTGAAAATAAAAAAAAATGTTTGGACTTTGTAATGAGAGGCACAATGCCGACATGGAAAAACAAGTAAAATTTTGTCAGTGAATCACTCGAAACGAACGAACAAGGTATATAAATTTATACTCATCGATCAGAGTATCTTATAGTATATATACTCTTTCCGTGTTTTAACATATGTGCCGTTGATTTTATGAGATATGTTTAACCATTTGTTTTATTAAAAAAATATCATTTATTTTATTGTGACTTTATTTATTATCAAATGTTCTTTAAGTAAGACTTTTCAATGTATACAAGAAATTTGAAATAAGATAAATGATCCAACATTTATTAAAAGTTAATAATATTATATATTAAAAAACGAAGATAGTATTGTAAATGGCTCCTTTTGTTTTATACTAATATGGCTGAATAGCTAAATAAACTATACTTGTCTAAAAAGCGTTAAATAAACTATATCCCCTTCATCCTCAAATATAATTATTACTAACTATGTATTTTGATAAAGGTATGTCTAAATGTGTAGCTAAAATTGACTATATTTTGAGATAGAGACAGTAAAAATTATTCGAGAGTAGTATAAACAAATGAATTAAATATTCGAGGGTAATATTATTTGGGATGGAGTATAAAATAAAAAATAAATCTAACATAGTTTTATCAAAAAATCATATATAAAAGTTTTCCGTAAATCACTCTGTTTATAAACTTGGGAAGCATGGACATATATCAAATCATTTCATTAAACATAATTTCTAAATATTTAGTCATTTTTCCTCCTTACATTAAAGAAAGGCATATACATCCACGACACAAGCTTAACAAATGTATGGATGGATCATGGAATATTTGGTTACGGAGTAATTAGGTCCGGAAGAGCACACGCTCTATTTCGAAACGGCTACTTAGATCACGTTTCATGAAATGCTAAATGCTTGTTTCATGCAAAAGATTTTAGTTATATAGAAGTTCCATTAAAAATAAATAAATCTTTTTTTAAAATATAATACTTAATACTCGATTAATTATGCATAAATGGTTGTCTCATTCAGTGTGCCCTTAAAATTTCAAGCTAAATAGAGCTCCAAATGAAGCCTTAAAACACGAGATTTTTTTTTCTTTACAGCTTGAAAGTTTGTCCTCGCAAAAAGGAAATAGAAACATTCAGAATACCGTCTAAAGGAGAATCGCATACTCCATATTGGGTTGATTGGGTTGGTTCCTTAAACACGGAAGCAAGCTTTGGGCTGTGTTTAAATCAAAAGTTTGGATCGAAACTTCCAATTTTTTCCATCACATCAACATGTCATACGCACACAATTTTTCAGTCACATCATCTTTAATTTCAACCAAAATCTAAACTTTAGGCTAATCTAAACATAACCTTGGTCACGTAGTATGCGTAAATGTGTCGATATCTTTTTCTGGATCATGTGACAGATCATGGTATTGGCGAATATTCCACGCAATTTGGTATCATGATACCTTGTAGTAGTAGATCGCGTGGGGGCGTGTGTGTTGCTAAAGAATGTGATTCTTGTGGCACACTGCTAGCTCTACTTGCGATTTCTATACACTAACACTAGGCTGCTCCTGTCTTTTTCAGCCTTCAGAAGCGAATAAAATTATCATCGCTAAAGTATATAAAGGTGATAATAAATGTATATATGTTGTCATAAGAGCAAGTTTAATAGTATAGCCAACTACTGGCTCCAATTCATCTATAGCTAATCTAATAGCTCATTCATACAATAGTTACATACTACACTATTAATACCTGGTCCCACCTGTCATACACACTGTGTCTTGGAGTCCGTGCTACAGCTGTCTATAAATCTGTAGCCCGCTGCTTTCCTCTCTCCTCATTTATCTTCTTAAAATATGTTTGCAGCTGGTTTATAGCCTGTTATTGTACTTGCTTTAATGCTCTAATGATGGGCGATGGCGGCACGGAATGTAAGACGGATTAGGACAAGTTTAACGAAATTCGACGGAGACTAATCCGTGGCTAATTGTTTATTGCACAGACATGATTTTTCCTCCAACAACTGCATTTGATTTTTCCCGGCTCCAAACTACACGTTTGTTCCAATCTTGTTTACGAAACTGCACCTGTTTGTTGCAAAGTTTAGTTTTCTAAAACAATCTGCAACAAGTGTACTTTTGTGTTTATATAAGGGAAGTGAAAAGTGTACTTTTATGAAACCTTAGTACCTGCTCGCTCTTCACGATATTCCCGTACAGGTGCCGTTAAATTTACTTGCATAACGATATTCCCGTACAGGTGCCGTTAAATTCATTTGCGTAATACTAGCAGGCAAAGTGTTAATTACAAACTAGCAATACAATACTCCCTCCATACTGTAGGACGCCGTTGACTTTTTAACGTTGATAAAAAATCAACGGCGTCATACATTAAAATACACAGGGAGCAGTAGTTTTCTTAGACCGATCACTAGGTGAAGGTTTCTTCATCTGAATTGATTATAAGTAGGGAGGATAATACAAGGTTCATTGATTTACAATGGAGCATAAAGGGGAGATGAAATTTCTTCACAGGGTGTAACTACAATCCTGCAATCGTATTTCAGATGCTCAGCTTAGAGCCGCATAGCATCATCTACACATTTTGTTATAAACCTAGCGAGGGACCGCAGGTATGATTCCACAACCTCCAAAAGCAAAGAAGGTAGAAAAACTGGAAGTGCTTGAACGGCAGTTGGCTGGGAGGCTGCAAGCTGGTTTGATCTCTCATGGAGGAGATGTTCAGTTGCAACGGTAGTTGATTCAGTTAATGAGAATACTTACATAATTTGAAGCTATGATCTACGAAGAAGGAATTTGATTCAGTAATTTGAAGCGTAGTAGCAATTGGCAGCAGAGTTGAAAAAACATCCAGTCATCCTATAGAGGTTGACTGCTCCTCAATGTCCTCCCTCTTATTGTCATCGATGACGGAAAGCTAACAAGATGAACAAATATGCTGAATCTGCTTCCTGACGTGCATGCTCGGAAGGTGTGAAATATGCCTACTATTAGTATCAACTATCTTCAACCACAACGGACTGAGGTGCATGCTTAGAAATCATCTCTTATTGTTTGGATTGGGTACCCATGCGTTGCAACGGAAAAAAAATCAATTTAAGATCACATGTTTTAATCACTCACGATCCCATGTGACTAAAATTTGAGCCAATGCCATAAAAGCGATCATCTCTTACTGTTTGGATTGGGTGCCAATGCGTTGCAACGGGAAAAAAAAATCAATTTAAGATCACATGTTTTAATCACTCACTATCCCATGTGACTAAAATTTGAGCCAATGCCATGAAAGCGAAGTAATAAGTAGATAATTTGCTTAATAAAAAAAATACCCCCTCCGTATTTTAATGTACGACGCTGTTGACTTTTTGACTAACGTTTGACTCTTCGTCTTATTAAAAAAATTATGTAATTATCATTTATTTTATTGACTTGATTTATCATCAAATGTTCTTTAAGCATGACATAAATATTTTTATATTTGCACAAAAATTTTAAATAAAACGAATGATCAAATGTTGGTCAAAAATCAACGACGGAGGGAGTACTTGAAAAAGGAAGTTTAAGCATGAAATATATGTATCTTGTTTTATAGCTGAACAATATTACTAATGTTTTATTTTGAAGTACACATAACGTTAACAATACTATTTTTTTTTTGCGAGGAACGTTAACAATAGTATGAATACATGATCAACGAGTTCCTAAATTTTTTTGAAGTACACATAACGTAACGTTAGATCCCACTCCGAACAGTCAATGATTATATGTATCAAATATACAACGTAACAATCATCCGGCCATCATAAAAGCTCATGGTATATTAAAAAAATAAAAATCATCTCAAGAGACTGTATGCTACATATTAAATCTAATGATAGAAGCTTAATTTGGACAAAAAATCAACAAGGCTTAAAGAACATTAAAAAATCATGCTTAAAGAACATTTGATAATAAATAAAGATCCAAAAAATCAACAAGGCTTAAAAATTTAAAAATACAACCAGCTACTAATTTGTACAATTTAATATTCCAAGATGACATCTTATATGTCCAACTAATAGAAAAAACCATGACTACAGACATCATGATAACAGCTTACATCTTATAGGTCAACATACAGGAATGATGGAATTTATTGACAATGAAATGCCATTAGGAACATGTTAGTTGGACAGTAACACTGGATATTTCAGCAACATAAGGACAGCTACACAGACTGAAATAGATTCTACATGTGTGTACATATATGACCATATAATATTCATATTTGGTGAAATCACTCTGCAAATCTAATCATGCACACATAGTGTATTAATCTTATTTTTCTCAACTAATACTAATCGAATTAGTTATAACAATAATTGAAAAAAAAAGAATGTGATAAATGCATGCCGGATCTATCATGTTTAACTGCATGTGATAAACCATTGTGTACGGTAAATGAAATATGAAATAAGTTTGACTGATATTCCAGTAGGTAATGATTTCAACAGTTAATATAAAAATTGCAAAGATAATTAGTTAGTACACAATATTCTTTGTGCACACTAGATATACCTCGTCTATGCTATGAGGACATCCTTGTACACAATATTCTTTGTGCACGTTGTAGTATGTTTGGACCGT